ATATTTTTACCCATTGTTTCGGCAACCATTTTCGGCTACCTTTTCTACTCTCGTAAACACAGCAGCAGTAAGGGAATTATCGCGCCGCTCGGGTAATACCCGCTGCCGACGCATAGGGTTTGGCGCGGGTAATACCCGTGTCTCCCGGTACCCCCTCCGCGAGTCCCCCTTACTGCTGCTTAACATCCCTAAATAACTTGTCGTAAAAAACTTGTTATCCTGACTCACCACTGCAAGTACAGCAGTGGCGCAGCTCAACAGGGTCGAACTGAAACCATGTGAAGACACCTCTCGCAGCAGCTATACAGCCCATGTACTTACAGGGGGGAGAAAAACTGGAGGGCCAGAAAAACCCCTCGGCATGTGAAAGAGAACAACCAACTCAGCTCACATGGGTTAACTGGGATTCGAATCCCAGACCTCAGAGGTGAGAGGCCAACCCACCATGCTGTCCCCCCATTATTATAGTTATTGTCTTACCTGCATTTGGTTTGGTAGTGTCTTCATGGACTTTAAGAACCCATTCTCTGTACTCCCTCTTCTGCATCTCCTGCAGTTGTGACAGCTCACTAGACCAATAAGTTTCCAACATCTACCATCACAATAAACACAATAAATTAAAAATCACTACTCTACTGGGAAATTTATTCTTATATGCAAGGGGTGGCGAGGGTCTGAGGAGTTCATACTATGTAGTGTGTGAAAATATCCAGGGAGTGTCTGAGTAGCGTATATTTTGTAGTTCCAAAAAATTTCCATTCCTTTTGAGCAGAGGGGGATTGGCTTTTTCAAGGGATGGGGAGGGTCTGAGGACGGTCTATTTAACAGTATCATGTACTACATGTTAAATGATTACTATACCTGGGATTGTTCGCAGTGCCGAGCAGCAATATTACTGACATCCCTATCAGTATTGGTCAGTCCAATATCACTTATTGCATTCTGTAACTCTTTACTATGCCTGAAAAATAAGTAGTTATCCTCTTAACAAAAAATCCCAAAATTACTGGTTTAAAATTTTGTTGGTTGGGCTTTCTGTGGTAACAAATTCTAAAGCAGAAGGGAGGGGAGGGTATGACTCCATACTTACTTTTCTGCTGCAGTTTTCAGAGCATTATCTCTGTGCGAAAGCAATTCTTGTAGTGACAAGGCATATGAGTTTTCTAACTGTAGCAGGGTCTCCAGAGCAGCTGAATGAATCAATGAATGATATATCTCAGCAAAAGCAGCATCTTCACTCATGTCACTTGTAACACAGTATTGAGAATGTTCCTGTTTAAAGGTATTGGCCCAGATGCTTATGCATTCATTGGCTGTCTCCTTTGATGTCAAAACCTGGTTGATTGCAAGGTCGGCCATCTTGTCATACAGTTTGGTTTCACTCTTTTTGAGAAAGTTCTCAAAAGCCTTCGTCAAATCTGGTAAAATGGGTTAAAAATATCATCAGAATAAAAACACACATTTGTATAAAATATTATAAAATAACTAAGATACAACGCACACTCTGATTGGTCAATTACCGTTTTACATAACTCAACATAGATCATGAGGAAATGACGTCAGCTGCGCGCGCGATGTTTTGTTTGTTTCTTATGTTTTTTATTAATTCTTTTGAGTTAATCGTTAGTTATATCTTAGTTATTTTATAAAAGAGATAGAAAACTCCCCTTGCTTGTGCTATGTTGAGTTATACAAGCACGCGGGAAATTGCATGAGCCCTCGAGAAGTGGTGTCGAGAAACACTCGCCTATGGCTTGTGCTTCTCTTAGCTCTTCTCTCGGACTCATGCAATTTCCCGCGTGCTTGTATAACTCAACATAGCACAAGCAAGGGGAGTTTTCTATCTCTTCAGTATAGAAATTATACTTTTATTGTACAGAAAAACAAAGAATGGGCCATCCATTAGGGGAGCATTTCTTAAGAGGAAAATTGAATCAGCAGTTATTAATTTTAAGGGGATTTATAAAAGACAAAAAAAGGTCAAAATTGAACTACAAAGGTGGGGGTGGCGGTGGCTGGGGGGTGGGGGGGAGGGGGGATAGAAATTCCACTAACCCCCTTCCTCCACCCATCCAGGATAAAATAGAAAAGTGTATAAAATGACAATTCATAGGTATTGAAATATGAACTAGAGCTTAATGATAATTGTTCATCAAAGAACAGAACATTTATCGTCAAGCACCCCGTCCCTGTCTTGATATAAATTATCGCCATCCCATGGAAAGGAGGAAGGAAGTAACTTACCTTCTTCTAGATAGCATGGTATCTTGTGTGCATTGATTAAGCGACAAGAAAACTCTTTAGCACTTATCTTCAGTGGTATAGGCACTGATAAAGTCAGTCTTTGTATCTTGTTCCCGTCCCTGTATCCATAGGAAAACTTTTCAAAAGTGTCTTCGAAACTTGCACACATCAAAACATCCACCATTTTGAATACGAATTTTTGAAAGAAAATTCAACCAAAACTGCTAAAGAAATACGCTTCAGTAACCAAGGAATAATTATACGTGCTATTATCTACATGGTTTTCCTAGATACTGGTTAAAAAGACCTAAAATAAAAGAAAACCATCCGAAAAACCTAAGGCAGTTCTCTTTTTTCTTTGGTTTCCCCTTATGTGTCTCGAGAGGAGCCTGGAACCAAGTACTAAAATGATTTTACTTCCGGTTCCGGTTTAAAATCATGAAAGAATCGAAAAGAGAAAAGAAGAGAAGAAAAAAGAAAATTTATGAGAAAACGTTTTTAACTGTTTTCTATTCGATCTTTTATGAGCCACCGTAATTTACGACTACAGGGGGGGTTATAATTTTTATATTTTTATGTACAATCCGTGAAAGACTGGTTGCCACTATAGAGCCCCCAAACACATGGTCAGTGGGTTTCCCTGTAAGGAACAAAATTCAAAATGGCGGAAGAAGAGCATGGACTTCATGGTAACAAAAACCTCTTAATTTTCACCCTAAAATGAGCTTTTTACGACGAAAATCTTTATATTCAGTTAATATCAGTTATTACTACAGCATTATGGCTTGTGAGTTTAGAAATCAAAATTATTTTGGACCAACTTTGAGCTGAAATCTAGAAGACAACGTGTTGACTTCAACATAAAGAAAACCGATCTTTTATGACAGAAAGTCAACTGAAACCGATAAAATTAATAATATATTTTTTAAATTTTTAGTACAGTTATTATAATAATTTGTTTTTCCAGATAAAGAAAAGGAGGCTTACAGCCCCTTTGCAATCATGACAAACAACAGTATCATTGAGTTCTGGTAAGCACCATTACCTTTTTTAATACTATGAACAAGTTGACCAGAATCAACGTGTGAGCTGATTTGTATACAGTATATAGTGAATGAAGTGGTGGTGTGTGAGGAACAAACATCTTGGAAGAGCCCCTCATGAGGAGTGATGGTTGTGAAATATATGTTTATACATATAATCCATGTCTTATTAAAGCCATCTTCTCCCCTCCCCCCAAGGGAGACTAATCCTTAGTAATTCACTCTCTGTCAGGTATTGTTTTAGAACCTTATCGTATCCCCACCCCTCCCCCATAAGGTTGCATCTCAGCTCATTTGTTCTCTTGGCATGACATTACTTATTTAAAAGATCTTTTTTTACATGTAGGTGAATGATTTAATTTTTTAACAAATCCATGTTTTTAATCCTTTCTTTATTGAATATTGTCTTTAGCCGGACGTCATTAGCTGCCATGGCTGGGATTTCTGCTGGTATTCTAGGACTCACCGGCCTCAAAGGATTCATATTCTACTTTGGGGCATCAATCTTGATGTCAGTTTTTATCTGTTGGAAAGCTGGTACCCAGTGGTCTAAGTATTTCATCTCCTGGTGGGACCTCAGTACTTCTGGAATCCTAGGAGGCATTTTTGTATCCTTTTGAGAATTAATTTTCTTTAATTCCATCTTATATTTTTCATTTCTGGGTCTGCAAAAAAGTATTTTAAAAGATTAAATTTTATTGATACTTCAAAATGATGTCTGGGTTGATCAAAGTCAGGGCATGGCTAACTCACAGATCAAACCCTGAAACAACCTCTGGGCTGATCTAAGTCAAGCCATGGCTAACTCACAGATCAAACCCTGAAACAACCTCTGGGCTGATCAAAGTCAGGGCTGCATGGCTAACTCACAGATCAAACCCTGAAACAACCCCTGGGCTTATCTAAGTCAGGGCATGGCTAACTCTGACACAGATTGAACCCTGAAACAACCTCTGGGCTGATCTAAGTCAGGGCATGGCTAACTCACTGATCAAACTGGAATTTATAGTGTTAATTTTGGAGGAAGTAAAATTAGAGAACCTGGAGAAAAACCCTCAAATCAAGTGAGAGACTCTACTTACATGTGATATTAAGTCCAGGAATCAAATCTGAGACCCCAGAGGGGAGAGGTGAGTGCCAATCGTGATTCCCATAGAAGAGTATTACAAGTAAGTTAATTGGCAAAAACCTCCTAGTGGATGCCAACAGACTAAAGATGCCCACCTCACGTCAATCAACCTCTTCAGGCTCTGTTGCATATAGGGCCTTGATGCTATATGAAGATGTCAAGCAAGTTTTGTTATTATTTCCTTGACTTTCTGTTTCTCTTCACAGACCTACTTACTTTTCTGGACGTATCCTTTTTGTTTTACCTTATAAATCATTATATAGGTATATAGAAAGTGTGGATAAAAATGGAGGTGATAAATTAACTGGAAAAAATGGATGAAAAAATGAATGAAGAAATGGATGAGAGAATGAATGGATGAATGAATGAAAAATAAAGAATGAGCATGAAATCTAGATACTTTTGGAAAATGAATAAAACTAAGGAAGAATGATATTAATGAAGATAAGTTACTTTTATCTTTGAAATTAATCTTTAACTAATACTCAGCTTTCTTTATGGAATGGTTCATGTCTACTGAAGCAAGAAATATTCTTTTTAATAACCATTAATATTAAGAGAAAGAAGAAAGAAAGAAATCTATGTCAGATCATCAAGGGGCAGCAGCTCAGTAACTCAAGAAGAATTAAAAGAAACTCTTGATCCAATTAGAAAACACTACAGCCTCCCCCTGAGAAACAAAACATCATTGACTATATGGCAATGAGTAGAGAGGTTTCAGGGGGGTGTATGTGACCATTGCGCTGCCTGTGAGCTAATATGAACCTGTGAAACATGTATATATGTGTATTATTCAGTAGCACAAATATATAAGAAATATTGGAAGTGCATTAACATGAAACAGTAGTTTGTATTTATCTTTTTTTTCTGCATATAAAACTGCTGCAAAAATCTTAGGAATTGTTAGAATAAAATTTTTCCAAGTTCAAGGAAATGGTGCCGACTGCATATCTGACACTTTCTCGTGTGTTTGAAGTTTTGTTTGTTTTTCGTTTCGTGCTTGTTTGCGCACTTACGAATCCTTGTTTCTTTTCAAATTCGAGTTGTTTTTTTAAGTCATTCTGAGGGGAAACTATTTTTGATTGGTTGTCTTATTTTCTTGATAAATAAATTTAGGACCATACTTCCAGGCATCGAGTGCTGAATCGTCGTATGGCAGCGCGAAGCATTTACGGCTACGCCGGAGATTTCGGCCCCGACACCGCTATCCTTGGATTTACAGACTGATCAGGAAGCTCGGCCGAAACCTAAGGGAGAGGTTAGTCGGCCCCTAGACCGTAGATGATTAACCCCTTGCTATGACCAGCATACCCGATTTATCGATTGTGTCCCTGACAATTTAAGTCTCTTCGCCACTCTATTCCATGTGGGATGCTTTTTAAAAACTATTGACGATGAATATTTCGCTCGAACTTCAAAATGTTGGTTTTATTTTATCTTCAATAACTTTCTCAGGTTGAAATTCTGTTTATTTTTGCTTTTAGCAGTAGTTTACAAGATAAAAACATCACAAAGTTTGAATACTTTTAGAGTCTCGAGACTTCACATTTGGCACATTCAGGACTTGTGCATGCGCGTCTAGGACCGTTTCTTTTGCTTCAATTTGTTAGCGGCATGAGCCAATAAATGTTGCTTGAGGGAGGAGTGGTAGCGGTATGTTTTGCCACATTCCTCGCACTTATAGGGACGTTCTCCTGTATGTATCCTCTTGTGCTGACGTAGCGTGCTGTGATTGGTGAACGCTTTGGCGCATATCTCACACTGGTACGGCCTCTGACCAGTATGAATATTGATGTGCTGCTTCAGGTCACCAGAATAACGGAATAACTTCAAGCAGTATGGACAGCGGTAAGGTCTTGCTCCTGTATGCGTGCGCATGTGGACGGCCCTTTCGGAAGGTTGATAAAAGCACTTGTCGCAGAACTTACAGGGGTAGGGACGAAGGCCAGAATGTCGACGAACGTGAAGCTCAAGCGCTCGAGTTGAAGTGAAGCTTTTAGAGCAGAAGCTACAGCTGCACGTCACCTGTTTTCCACATGGTTTGTTAAGACTTGACGCATGCGCACTTTCAACTTCTTTCATGGGAGCCGTCATGACGTCATCCTTCGATGGTTCACTATTTTTTGGCAATTCTGAAATGACAAAGTTTTTTTAATTGGTCAATTTAAAAGTGTACTTCAGCCTTTAGAGCGGCATTGAGAGTGACTGTGTACGTTGCAACTACTTGCACTCAAGTGGCTTCTATATATGTCAGCCAATCAGAGAGTACGAAAAGACAAGCCCATCAATCACGTGCGCGGATAAAATATGGTTTCCAATGCAGTACTCACCAGCACGCGATGACCATGGTATATTTACATTCTTTATGCTCTCATTGTTCACTGTTGATGCTATTGATATTAGAGGCGGTATTCTGTCGTAAATATTTGACTTAGTTTCCTGTCTCCTGATTGGTTCATTTATTGAATGATTGACAGCTGGGCAACAAAAGCTGCATTTGCATTTCCTAACTTGCTGCTGGAAAATGAAGAGTGGAGATGGTTGTGAGTGATATTCGTTGTGGGAGTAGAGAAAGGGTTAGGACAATGATTGACTGGATGTATTGCAGGTGGAAAGAATAAAAAACACTTCCTTTGTATCCCTACTAAAGACAAAACATCGGTTCATTCCCAGAAATGACAACAAAGCATGATTTTTACATGTGGGAAATTTTGAACACAGATGACTTTGAAAGTTTCAAAAGTTTTTTTTATCGAAAAATCATTTGAAAAGTAAACTAGATATAATTATTTTCAAAAATAATAAAAAATGCGCGTATCTACTAAATAAGCTGGAAATTAGAATGACTTTTTTTAATCTATAATTATCTTAAGTATTTTTTTAGTCTATAAGCTGTTGTCTCTGAAACCTAAACTCCTGGAGTACGAACAAATGGAGCTACGTTGGACGAACACAAAACGTTCATCATGTGTTTCATAGGCTGATAAAGAGTGCACAGGCTGAGAAAGTCAGCCAGAAGTCCCCTGACTGCCATTGAATTGCACTGAAGATGATAAACGGCAGAAAAACCCGGCTACCGTGATTTTTTGAATCCACTATGAAATAAAAGCTATAGCCGTATGCATAGAGTGCTTTTGAACAGTGTCTCACTAGGTCTAAGCTAGAATGTGTCGTAGAGGAAAGTTTTGAAGGGCAGCCACGTTACAGGACAGAAAAACGTGAATACTTTGTATGGAAAAAACCGATATTATTTCCCAAATAAAAACACTTCCTATTGTTTAGCCTGTAGAAACTCTATCTTTTTCTCGTTCTTTTTAAAGAAAAATCCAAGTATCGAATCTTTTGTTCTACTATGCACTGACTTCGAACAAGACGAAGGGCGGTAGTATGCCATGACAGTAGCGACAAAAGAACCCTTTATGCAACCTGCTGTTTGAAGCTCCAACCTGTAACTTTTAGTTCGATATAATAATAACTGCGTCCTTCTTTTAAAATGACTGATTAATATTTCAAAACATTTAGACAGAAAAAGCTCTTTTCTTAAATTTTGAAACTCTATAACATCATATTTAACTCACATATAACTCTATTTTAAAAACAATTTTTAACACTAAAAAAGCTGGCGGCGTTTGTAGCTTATTTTATTCCTATAAATTTGAATTGGTGTTTAAGGTATTGCCATTTTTGTTTATACATTTTTACGTTTGTTAAGAAGAAGAAGATAAGACCCAAAACATGTGCTCGGCTAGCTATGACCGCGTAACTAAATCGGTGGTTTTGTAACTTTAAAAAAGGCAGTCCCATCGTCTGCAACTATCAGTTTTCTTTTAGCGTCGCAATTATATGCGCGTTTGTTTTAATGAATTGAAGGAAGTGTGATACAAAACCCCCTATCTTGGTGGCATTCTTAAATGATTTGCCATAAAAAAAAAACTTTTCTTTACTGGCTTTCTTTTTAGTGATACTGCGGGTCTTAATATTTCAAAGCAGTTCTAAGCCTAATGCGTTGATACAGTCGCCACTGAGAAGACTGAATAAAGTGCTCATTTGAAAGTTGAGTCATTTAGCGGCTGTTTTATTAACAAAAAAGAAGATAAATATTGCTAAAACAATTATGGAAGGGCTTGACTGGTTTCATCGAAACAGCCGTGCAAAGCTGCGTCTTGTGTGTCAGTTGTTATCCTCTGAACAACACTCTTAACACCAACGTAAAGAAGAAAAGATAACGTCTATATATAGTTAGTTTTATTGTTTAACCAACCTTTACCTAGTTAAATAGACATCAATAATTAATGTATAGAACTAAAACAAGAGATTAGTGTGAAACGTTATTTTGTTGAACAGTAAAGTTGTGAAAAAAGGTTGCAATCCTAATACCTTTCAACAATATCAATATACTGAACGTTTTGCCGCGCGATCAGAATTTTCATGACTTTAACGTATTTTTAAGAATAATAACAACCACAACTCAAATTGTTAAAAAAGAGCAAAAATCTTGTTAATCTAGAATCTACCAATATTTCTAATGCCTGCATGCCAATCATTTGTTATTAAGTTTTATTCTTTTGTACTGAATGCACCGCCATAGTACTGAAGTTTTATCCAGAATTTCGACAAACTTTTTAACCAAGCTCTCATTGTTGTCTCGGAATTGAATGCAAGCTGTTGCAGTTGTTATTGATATTTTTAGCAATGTCTAGAAAAAAGATTCTTTGTTTGTAAATAAATCACCGGAAAGCAAACTAGAAACAATATTTCTACGACAGTGAGGTAGAAATTAGTATTAGTGCTCGATCCGGCAGAAGTTAAAAGTCAACACGTTGCTTTTGACATATTATTACATACATACATACATTTATTGAGGCTCCTTTTTACAAGGCTTTTCAG